TGTGATTGTGAGAGTGTGTGTCGTGTGTGTGAGTGTGTGTGTGAGTCCCAGTGTGTGAATATGTGTGTGTGTGTGTATGTGTGTGTGTGTGTGAGAGAGCGTGTGTGCGTGAGTGTGTGTGTGTGCGTGAGAGTGTGTGTCTGTGTGAGAGAGTGTGAGTGTGAGAGTGTGTGTGAGTGTGTGTGTCTGTGTGTGAGTGTGAGTGTGTGTGAGTGTGAGTGTGTGTGTATGTGAGTGTGTGTGAGTGTGTGTGTGTGTGTGTGTGTGAGTGAGTGAGTGAGTGACCACAACATGGCAGTGTGGAACATTTCCCAAGAGGAGGTCGAAAGGCCGGGGAGTGCCAGTGAACAAATCGATAATGACGCCAAAGGCCTGGGTCCCGCACGGCGAGAGCTGCCAATCCGTCAACAATCTACACCATTCACAACAGCCCCTGACAGAGGAGGTGGCCTTACCTCCAACACTCTCATCAGCCAGGGTCCCAAAATGTTGCTTCAGGAACTGCTCCTGGTCTGGCGTTCTTGGCACTGCTGTCTCGCGCAGGTAGCTCCCGCTCAGCTCCTCCTCTTCTTCCTCCATGTCCGAGAAGATCCCGTCCACACTCAGTGGCTCTGTACACTCGGAATCTACAACATCAATAGGGAGTGATGACCCACACCGTCACCCGAGGGCACTTTTATACCCCAAATACCCAGCCCTCGGCAATGCAAACCAGGGCAGGAATTACACTGTGAACGGTAGGGCACTGGGGAGTGTTGTCGAACGGAGAGTCCTAGGGGGTGCAGGTACACAGTTCCTTAAAAGTGGCATCACAGGTAGACAAGGTGAAGGATGCTTTTGGCACACTTGCCTTCATTGATCAGAAATTAGGAGTTGGCACGTCATGTTGCAGCTGTTCAAAACCTTGGTATGGCCACAACTGGAGCACGGCGTACAATTCTGATCGCCCTGCTATAGGAAGGGAGTTGCTAAACTGGAAAGGGTGTAAAAAAGATTTACAAGGATGTTACCGAGACTGGAAGGTTTGATGATAAGGTGAGGCTGGATAGGCTGAGCGGGGTGACTTTATAGAGGTTTATAAAATCATGACAGGCATAGATAAGGTGAATAGCCAAAGTCTTTTCCCTAGGGTAGGGGAGTCCAAAGCTGTAGGTTTAAGGTGAGAGGGGAAAGATTTAAAAGGGACCTAACGGGCAACATTTTCACACAGAGGGTTGTGCGTGCATCTGCCAGAGGAAGTGGTGGAGGCTAGTACAATTAAAACATTTAAAAGGCATGTGGATGGCTACATGGACAGGAAAGGTTTAGAGGGATACGGGCCAAACGCGGGTAAATGGGACTAGTTCGGTTTCGGGAAACGTGGTCGGCATGGACGAGATGGGCCGAAAGGCCCGTTTCCCATGCTGTGTGACTCTACGGCTCCTGCTCTGCAGCCACGTGTGGTTTGGGTGAAGTGAGAACCAGCAGCAGCTTCTCTGCCGAGCAGGAGTAGGTTGAGAGAGGCCACTGTATGTGTGTGTGTGCGCCCACACCACCCACTCTCTCTCTCCAGAGCTGTCCCCCTGGAGCGGCAAAACTCCCACCAAACTGCCACTGTCCCCTCTGGAACAGCTTCTCTTAGAGAACCATTCCATGGCAACGAGCCATCATCACGTACAGCTTAATTCCCCAGCAATACCCTCCTTGGATTCAGAGACCTGTAAAATCCAGGTCAAAGAACTGTATCCATCTGAGGGTGCAAATAGGTTCGAGCAGTGCCTCTCTACCTCTGGGACCCCCTATGAAGTCCAACTCAAGATCTCTGTTGACCAACTGCAGACCGATTGCGGTGGACACTCCTTATCTGAATTGATAACCCCATGTGATTCAAGATGGTGCCAACGCAGGGTGGCTCTTTGTGAGCTCTCGACAGCTGGTCTTACTCTCACATCTCTTACAACCGCCCTGCACTTTTAAACCTCAATTCTAAGTCTGTTAAAATTGCTAACAACGTTCTCTTAAATCTACTTGCAGGCCTGAAGATTATTAGACAACTGGATGGCGCCTCTCAAATTTCAAACCTAACGCTGATCTTACTTTTGCCGTTGCAGCCGTAATGGTTGTGTTCCTCGCTCTGTCCAATCACCCTTTGCGATCTGCACGCAAAACACAACTTTTTCACTGTGCTTAGGTACGCGTGACAATAATAAATCAAACCAAATCAAATTTTAAAAAAATCAAAATCAAATCAAGAGTGAGCTGTATGAGAAGGAGCTGCCCAAAACCACCCAGTTCTGGAACAGAGACAGTAGGAACTGTAGATGCTGGAGAATCTGAGATAACAAGGTGTAGAGCTGGATGAACACAGCAGGCCAAGCAGCATCAGAGGAGCAGGAAGGCTGACATTTCGGGTCTGGACCCTTCTTCAGAAAATGGGAGCGTTCGCTGGTAACACTGGAGGGAAAGGAATTCTCTAGTTTAGCGAATAGCGACAGATGGCGTGTAAGGGGAGAGCTAGATGAGCCCACCATGGAGATGCTGATGGAATGAGATAGAGGAATGGCAAGGAGGTGCATGTAGCGCTGACACGGACGAGGTGGACCGAATGGCCCGTTCTCCGCGCCGCACAGAAGCTACGTTTCTACGTTTTGACAGCAGTGTCTTCAGGCAGCTGGCGAAACCCAGAACGTGTCCATGAATCTCAGGACGGTGGGGGGTGAGGAGCGGGAAGGGACTATGAGCGTGCTCTAACCTTCGTGAGGATGCTCGGGGCTGGAGAAGTGGCTGCTGGAATAATCCACAGAGCAGGCACTGTCGGGGCTGTGCTTCTCTGGGAGGCCGTGGCTACGGTAAACCTTCTCCTGCCTCCGGTGCTGCAGCTCCTTCACCTGGTATTCACTGGCGGACAAGGAAGAACTGTGTTAGCATCGCTGTGCAATGTCGACTCCGCAACTAACGACAAGCAAGATAATCCGCTTCCCCCCCAACCCATTCCCAACCCCCACCTCCCCCCACCCCACAACCACCACCGGAAAGGGCTCGGTTCCTGAGAATTCTTTTTCCTGGGTTGCCGACATCGCTGGCAAAGCTGCTGTTCCTTGCTGGCCGCGTCTTCCGTGGCAGCGCTCTGTGTTTGAATCCCCACTCCAGGGGATGAGAGACACAAAAGCCAAGGATGGAGGAGGCATTCCTCAACCTAAACACGGAACTGAGGTCTCCCTCTGCCTGCTCGGGTAGACGGGAAAGATCCCGCGGCAGGGTTTTGCAGAGAATTCTGCGTTAACCGCTCCACCAACATGAGGAAACTAACATTAGCTGGTCGTCACAGTCCTGCTCCTTGTGGGAGCTTGCTGTGTGGAAACTGAGTGTGGCACTTACCACACAATGACGAGCACACTTCCAGAAGTATTTTACCGGATGTAAAGCACTCTGGTGGTCATAAAACAGTGTCGCATAAATATAGAGAGAGTTGTTTGTCTGCCCAAGGCAGTAAGAACGGTTTAAACTGCCGGCTTCATAAATTAGCACCAGATATTTCCCTGTCGTTCCAAGCTGAGTCACTGAGAACCTGTACAGCGTGGAAGCAGGTTATTTGAGTCCACACCGAGAGCGCCCCACCCACATACCCTATCCCCACAGCCCTGCATTCCCCAGGGCCAATCCACCCAGCGTGCACATGCCTGGACACTACGGGGCAATCTAGCAAGGACAATCCACCCTAACCTGCGCATCTTTAGACTGTGGGAGGAAACCGGAGCACCCAGAGGGAAACCCACGCAGACACGGGGAGAACGTGCAAACTCCACGCAGACAGTCGCCCGAGGGTGGGATCGAACCCGGGTCCCTGGTGCCGTGAGAGGCAGCGGCACTAACCGCTGGGCCACCGTGCCGCCCAAGCCGTCGGCCCTTGAAGTTTCCCCTTCGTCCATGCTCACGTTTGGTCACAGGTCTTGGATAAGCGTCAGGACTCACCCCTCCGTCTCACCAGAGCTCCCGGTGTGCACCGGGTAGATGGTACGCTCTTCGACCTCGGGTGTCTCCAGCTCTTGACTGAATATGCCTTCCTCACACGTGGGGATCGAGACGCCGCAGGGCCTGACAAAGCCCGAGCTGTGTGCGTCCATCAACTCTTGCTCCTCTATCTGTCGGGGAAACAACGGGAACAGGCTCTCAGGCTAGGCTTGTGAGGCAGCCCTCTTGTAAGTAAACGCTAATTGGTGGGACACAAGCACAAGCAAACTCAGGATACAAGGTAAACTACTCCAAAGGAAAGGCGCTCTGCAAAAAGATTTGCATCTTATGGCCAAGGCGCAGGAAAATAGGCTGATTGACGGTTGAGGATCATCCAACTGGTTTACGAAGGACCTGCCTACCTATGGCCGTGCGATACAGGACATGTGTGAACTATTGGGAGAACAACGTTGGGAAAGTCAGGCGTTCAGAGATGAGCAGGTCACGCCGATGGGGTGAATGTTCAGCCAAAGATTAAAAAGAATAGAGATAACACAAATGTGGAGCTGGAGGAACACAGCGGGCCAGGCAGCATCAGAGGAGCAGGAAAGCTGACGTTTCGGGTCGGGATCCTTGTTTGCAATTGTCTAGGCTGAAGTGTGACATTAGACCAAGTCTCAATGTGTATAAACGATTGCGTGTGGAGGGTTGGTTGGAGACAAGGGCTCCTCCTGAACCTACCTGGGTTCCGTCCGCCTTCAGTGTCAACAGTACCTGCATGAATATGCCTGGCAATCACATCTCAGGCTGTGGCACCCTTTGCTGAAGACAAAACTGCTCTTTCTCCCTCGTGTTTTGTCTTTTATACACTGCGTCATATTGTATTGGTACACTTTATTAGCACAGCATCTCCAGGAGAATAGGTTTCGACACAATGAATGTCTTAAAACCCTCTTGGTGCTGCCTTTTTGAGAAGCATCGTCAATTTGTTGCAGTAAGTGATGGTCAGGACATTTTGACTCTGTCTGGGACAACGTGTAAATCAGACTCTGCAGAGTCAGTCTGGAAATCTGCACTGTGTCATAAGCAGACTGCAAAGACAACTTAATACAGAACAAACACAGGCTGACACAAGTGAGAAAAAGCAGATATTGAGTATAGCGGGTGTAAATCTGAAAGTGCATATTTCCCACAGGGAAGAAAAAAAACTCTCAAAGCGCTCCTCAAAGGCATCACCAACAACAAAATCAGCACTGACCTGTAACTAGATGGTGGTAGCAGGGGTTGAGACAGTGAAAGACGTATAGGTTAGGTGGATCGGTCATGCTAAATTGTTCATAGTGTCGAGGGATGTGTAGGTTAGGTGTTTCAGCCATTGTATATTGTCTCTAGTGTCCAGCGATGTGTAGGTTAGGTGTTTCAGCCATTGTATATTGTCTGTAGTGTCCAGGGATGTGTAGGTTAGGTGGGTTAGCCATTGTATATTGTCTGTAGTGTCCAGGGATGTGTAGGTTAGATGGATTAGCCATGGGGAAGGCAAGGTTATTGAGATAGAGTGGGGGTCTGGGTCTGGGTAGGATGCTCTTCAGAGGGCCAGTGCAGACTCGATGGACCAAATGGCCTCTTTCTGTACTGCAGGGATTCTATGAACCAAAAGGTTTTGTCAAAAAAGTTACGTTTTAAGGGATGGGGGTGGAAGGCTGTCAGCAGAATATTCTAGAGCATGGTTCCAGACAGGTGGGGAGTAGGCGGAGTGTGGGGAAGGAACGGAAGATGTGCTATTGGCCAGAATCTGAGGGGAAAGTTCCAGTGGAGGAAGGGAGGGTCCCGTGTTGTAAGGGGTGCAGGAACAGATGGAAGGCATCCACACATCCTTTGAGCTCACAGGCCGAAGAAGGGTCCCGACCCGAAACGCCAACTTTCCTGCTCCTCTGATGCTGCCTGGCCTGCTGTGTTCCTCCAGCTCCACACTGTGTTATCTCTAGATTAAGAAGGGTGTTGGAAAAGCGTAGGGAATCCTTGGGCTTTAGTAGCGGAGCAGAAGAGCAAGGAATTTACGCTAACCCTTGGGCCCCAGGTTGAAACCTGTTGGCCAAATCCAAGCATCACACCTTAGGAAAAATGTCAAGGCTTTGGAGGAGGCATTGCTGAAGAAATATGGGACTTCTGTCACGTGGAGGTATTGGAGAACCTAAAGTTACTTTTAAAGCTGAAAAGATTAAGGGGGCATACAACAGAGATGCTCAGAACCATAAGCTGTTTGATAATTGGGAAGAAATATTTTCCAATGGACAAAGACAACTCAGATTAAAGTAAGGGGCAATAGAAGGGTTTTTTTTTATTTTTCATGCAGAAAATTGTTGCGATCTGAAACTTAGCATCTGAATCCACAGGGAGAAAGGATTCAGTTACATCTTGCTGAAGAGAATTGGACAAACACTTGATTTGTTGGGCTACAGAGAGAACAGAACGAAATGGGGGGGGGGGGGGCGTGGGAGTAACAAGGCAACACTTTCAAAAGAGCCAGCGCAGGCCGAACAGGCGAACAATACTCACGTCGCTCAGCAGGGTTTCTATGCTGACCCGGACACGGCGCTCGCGCTCACTGGATTCCTCAGGAACGGTGCTCCCGGACGGCGCCGTTCCAGCCCGGGGCCCGGAGCCCATCAGCGGTGAGAAGGAGAAAGAGTCCAGGTTTCGAAGGTCCAACATCGACTTCACACTCAGCTCCAGGTTGTTGTTGTTGTTGCTGCGTCGGGACCATCGGCCTCGCGGTCGAGGGACATGACTGTGCACCGAGTCCGGCCGGATTGGCACGTCGTCTGTCTACATACGGGGTGGGGTGGGAGACATCAGCTAACATTCCGCACTTCCCGCAAATCAAAATCGTCACTCTGCAAGACGCATCCCGCATCATAGCGACGTGCATTCGTATAGCGCCTCTCGCTTTGCAAACCGCACAAGCAGCAGTTACCAGACAACTTCTGCAGGAGGAGGTTTTGATTTTTACCTTTTATTCACCCGCCACTTCTTCCTCGAATCACAGCGGTTCGCACGTGCTGGGGGGGAGGGGGTCAGGGGTATCGGTCCGCGAAGGGATTGGGGTGGGCGATGAAAGGGTTTAACAAAGAGGTCGGTTTTAAGGATCGTCTTAAAAGGAGGGCTGAGGGGCGGCAGGGCACAGAGAGACATTCAGAGGGACTTCCAGAAACCCCAGGGTCAAGGTAGCATGGTCACCACGCCACCAGGTTGGGTAAGAGGTTGAGTCACTACAAGAGGGACAATTGTACATACAATCCCTACAGCGTGGAAGCAGGCCATTTGGCCCATCGAGTCCACACTGACCGCCCAAAGAGCGTCCCATCCCACCTAGTCTCACCCACCTACTGTATCCCCGTAAACCCACATTTACCACAGCTAACCCACACATCCCTGGACACTATGGGCAATTTAGCATGGCCAATCCACCTAACCTGCACATTTTTGGACTGGGAGGAAACCCACGCAGACACGGGGGGAATGTGCAAACTCCACGCAGACAGTCGCCTGAGGACGGAATCAAACCCGGGTCCCTGGCGCTGCGAAGCAGCAGTGCTAACCACTGTGCCACTGTGCTGCCCACTGTGCATCAAGTCATAGATTACTTTTAAGGAGAGTCTGGTTATTTATTAACTCCTGTATTAATACATTAAGATCATAAAGACAATGGAATGTATGATGATTAGAGCATGAATATAATGGGTGCTATACATGAATGTGGATTATATATAGCTCATATAAACAGTCTGAGGCAAAATGTGAAAGGTATCCTGATGGTGCATAGTCAAAAGTAAGTAAGCTTCCATCATGCTCAGGCCACCAGAATTGGCACATTTAGTAAACCCAAGTAAATCTTCAATTATCTATTGCTAAAAAAGTGGCCACTCTCTATCACTAAAAAGAACAGGCATACTCTAGACACTTGCTGAGCTGTAGTTCTGAATGAAGGGTTACCTTACTGTTCTCCCAGTTGTACAGACTCTTCATGCTCCCGGTATACTGTATCCTTGTGGGGATATCTGGAACATACAAAAGGGAGGGACCATCAACCACTTCCCTCTGTAGTGTTATCGCAGTCATCTCACTGTGAGTGGAAATAGCACGGCATTTCCCTGACACCTGGCACATTCCTCTCCTCGAACATCGTGGTGCTGTCGTCTTGGCCTCTTTACTTGAAGCCATATGGGTAATCATTTCCAAATGAACTTTGTAACCTCAGTGTGGGGTTTCATAGTTTTACATTGTCTAGTCATATTGCAGGTGGTGAGTAGTGTACATTGCTGGACCCCCACCCCCTTCCCATTTCGTCACAATATTTCTGACATATTGTTGGATGGCCAACGTTTAAATATGACACCATTGAACTTCCATGGTTCACTATCATTAATGGTCCAGTGCTAGATTCTAATTGTGTCTTCAATGGTCCAATCTTGGATTCCCTTTTCTCAGGAGCACCAGTGATAGAGTGCTGGCACACGGCAGGGAAGGTCGTGCCTCACTAACTTGATCGAGTTTTTTGAGGAGGGGACGAAGATGATTGATGAAGGAAAAGCGGTCGAGGTTGACCTACTTGGGCTTCAGTAAAGCCTTTGACAAGGTCCCTCATGGCAGACTGGTACAAAGGGTGAAGTCACATGGTATTGGGGTGAGCTGGCAAGATAGATACAGAACTGGCTTAGTCATAAGAGACAGAGGATGGCAGTTGAAGGATGCTTTTCAGAATGGAGGGTTGTGACTAGTGGGATCAGTGCTGGGACCTCTGCCGTTTGTGGTCTACATAAATGATTTGGAGGAAAACGTGGCTGGTCTAATTAGTAAGTTTGCGGATGATACAAAGATTGGTGGAGTTGTGGATAGTGAGGAGGATTGTCAGAGGATTTAGAAGGATATAGATCAGTTGGAGGCATGGGCAGAAAAGTGGCAGATGGAGTTTTAATCCAGACAAATGTGAGGTGATGCATTTTGGAAGGTGGAAATTATACAGTGAATAGCAGAACCCTTAGGAGTATTGATATGCAAAGGGATCTGGGTATGCAGGTCCACAGATCACTGAAGGTGGCAGTGCAGGTAGGTAAGCAGTAAAAAAAGGCTTATGGTACGTGTGCCTTCATTGGAAGGGGCATTGAGTATAAGGATAGGCAAGTTATGCTGCAGCTTTATAGCACTTCAGTTAGGCCACACTTGGAATATTGTGTACAGTTCTGGTCACCACATTACCAGAAGGATGTGGATGCTTTGGAGAGGGTACAGAAAAGGTTTACCAGGATGTTGTCTGGTATGGGGGATTTTAGCTGTGAAGAAAGGTTGGATAGGCTGGGTTTGTTTTCACTGGAACACTGGAGGTTGAGGGGCGACCTAATAGAAGTATGTAAGATTGTGAATGGTATGGATTGAGTGGAAAGTATGAGGCTTTTTCTCAGGGTGGAGGAGTCAATTACCTAGGGGACACAGCTTCAAGGGGGCGCGAAGGTAGGGAATGTTTAAAAGAGATGTGCAAAACAAGTTTTTCACACAAAGGGTGGTGAGTGCCTGGAATGTGCTGCCAGAGGAGGTGGTTGAAGCAGATACAATAACAGCATTCAGGAAGCAGCTGGGCAAATGTGTGAATAGGAAGGGAATAGGGGGATACAGATCCTGTATGTGAAGACAGTTTTAGTATGGAAGGGCAAAATGTGTCAGCACAGGCTTGGAGGGCCGAAGGGCCTGTTCCTGTGCTGTAATGTTCTTTGTGCTTTGCTCGTAAAACTGCTGCCTACTGCATTATCCACATGTGGTCAACCCCACTCCTTCCCTGGTAAGTGTGACGCTTTTCTGGAAATGCTGTAGAGAACCAGATTTAGAGCAGACCAATGTTGTAAGACAATTGTAGCACCAGGTGGGATTACTAACCTGATATCCATGAAGAACATTACTAAAGTGAGGAAAATTAGACGAATATTATTTCATACGAGTGAAGAGAGATCTCATAGAAACCTATAAGATTCTAGCAGGATTGGACAGGGTAAACACAGGAAGCTTGTTGCTGATGATGGGGTACTTCAGCACTAGGGGTTACTGTCTGAGGATACAGGGAGGCTATTTAAGATTGAGATGAGGAGAAATGTCTTCACCCAGAGAGTGGTCAGCCTGTGGGATTCTCTGCCACAGAAAGCGGTTGCAGCCAAAACATTGAAGACGAAGATAGATATAGTTCGTAGGGCTAAAAGGTTGAGAGGGTATGGGGGAGAAAGCAGGAGCAGAGGAGTGAGTTGGTTGATCCTCCATGATATTGTTGAATGGGGCAGCAGATTTGAAGGGATGAAAGGCCTACTCCTGTTGCTATTTTCTACGCTTCTAGGAATTGGTTGGCATCCAATGCCTGCAGCGCTATGTCCGAAGATTAACCAGAGCAGAAAGTGACTAATGCAGGCCTTTCAACAAACTGGTTAAAGAGATGAAGGGCCACAGGAGCTCTGTTTTCACACAGCTCTCCAGTAAGAGCAGACCTACCATTCGCCACATTGGTGATGCCTCGCTTTGGTGTGATGTGTGCAGAAGCCTCACAGTGTCCTTCGTCCTCCTCATTTCCATCATCCTCCGCTTCCTTCTCACTGTCAGAGGACATAGCTGTCTGAGCAGCTACATCGAACGTTTCTCGTCTGTGGGGGGAGAATGAAGAAAGGTAGACAAGTATTATATGATCAGGAATCAACCTCTTTATTGTCACAACCAGAGGAAAACAGAGAGAGAGAGAGAGCAAAGTGAAGAAGGACTGAGAGAGAAATAGAACAGGGATTGCCAGATATAGATGAAAAGGAAATGAAAGGGGGTCAGGGACAATGTTGGGACAGAGATATTGAGGGATACAATGCAGTAATTAGTCTTATCTTTCATAATAACAGAATAATCAATGTTACTAACAGAATAATCAATGTTAATAACATCGATCAGTTCCTGAAGCTTACTGTTCTCCACATGGGCTCACTTCAATGACAGTTCTCCAAACCACTCCAGTGCCTCTGTGTTCTGCTTGTCCAATATTCAGTCGTACATGACCCAGAAATACCCCTTGTTATAACACTGGAAATATCAGCCATTGTCTTCACTTCCATTTCCTATCCCACCATCTTCTTTGCCCTCTCTCTGTTTGCCAGAGATTCCATTCCCCTCCCCCGGTCATGACCTAATTTGACCTTCAGCTGACGCTCTGACTCTATGTTCTTACCAACACACATACTGTTTAGTTCCACTTCTGTTATATTGCCTGTCTCCGACCATACTTCAGATCATCTGCTTTTGAGGCCTAGTCTCACGCCATTGCCATTTCTGGACTTGACCAGCCCAGCACTCCCTTGGCCAGACTCCCAGCTGCCACTCTCAGCTCACCTAAAACTCTGCTGGCTCTATCCTAATGCACACTGAGTCCCTTGCTCACTCACCTCCAGACCAGAAAGTATCCACCAATCCCTTTTATTTAAACGTTTTTCCTTGTGTTTAAAACCCGTCACACCCATCTACGTAACTTCCTACAGTCCCACAATCTACACGCACTCTACACTCCTTCAATCCTACACATCCCCAATTTCCTTCACATTCTGTTGGTGCCTTTGCTTTCGGTTATCTGCGTCCTGAACTTCTTTCCCTACGTGCTCGGCACAGCTCTGCTCTTGTACCTGTTTGGGCTTGAATGCTTTTGTGGAGGTGTCTTTGCTTGCTTCTTTTCCTTCTGCTTGATCTCTGCCAGCCTCTGCCTCATGTTAATTGTCAGCTCCGAGCTCAGTCTCCAGATGAATATACAGCTGCGGGGAAGGCAGAGGGAGCTCAGTTACATCAAAAGCTCCAGATTAAATAATACCACCTCGTCCCTTGCCTGATACATGACTGATCATGAGTGATTATCAGACCATATACTGATAGTGACAACGGGACCTTGTTCTATTCTGTTCTCATTCAATCTTTCATGTTATGAACATTGACATACATGCACAGTATCAGAAGAAGTAATGAGAGACAGAGAGAGAGTGAGGAAGAGAAGGAGAGAGATTGTGTGCTGAACACAAAAAGGAAACAGAGAAAGACACACACAGCCTGATGGACTAACTGAATAGGGAGCGCTAACCTGCCAAGCAACATAATAGAAAAAAATTAGCTTCAAGGGGTGAACTGCAAGCAAATTGAGCAAAGTACTGTGGATGCTGGAAATCTGGAATAAGAAAGTGCTGGAGAAACTCAGCAGGTCTGGCTGTATCTGTGGAGAGAGAGAAATAGAGTTTTGAGTCCAATATGACTCTAAGAGTCAAAGGGTCATACAGAAAGGAAACGGACTCTTCGATCCAAACTGCCCACGCTGACCAGACATTCCCAGACATGACCCAGTCCCATTTGCCAGCATTTGGCCCATATCCCTCTAAACCCTTCCTATTCATGCACCCATCCAGATGCCTTTTAAATGTTGTAATTGTACCAGCCTCTACCACTTTCTCTGACAGTTCCTTCCAGGCATGCACCAACCTCTGTGTGAAAAAGTTGCCCCTCAGATCCTTTTTAAATCTTTCCCCGAATATCTTAAACCTACGCCCTCTAGTTTTGGACTCCCCCAGCCTGGGAAAAAGACCTCGACTATTCACCGTATCCATGCCCCTCATGATTTTATAAACTTCTACAGAGTCAACACTCAGCCTCTGATGCTCCAGGGAAAATAGCCCCAGTCTATTCAGCCTCCCTCTATGGCTCAAACCCTCCAACCCTGGCAACATCTTTGTAAATCTTTCCTGCACTCTCTCAAGTTTAACAACACTTTCCTATAGCAAACAGACCAGAATTGAATGCATTATTCCAAAAGTGGCTCAACCAATGTCCTGTACAGCCACAACATGACCTCCCAACTCCTGTACTCAATGCACTGACCAATAAAGGCAAGTGTGCCAAACGCCTTCTTCACCGCCCTGTCTGCCTGCGACTCCACTTTCAAGGAACTATGCACCTGCACCCTGAGGTCTCTCTGTTCAACAACACTTCCCAGGGCCCTAGCATTAAGTGTATAAGTCCTGCCCTGATTTGCCTTTCTAAAATGCAATGCCTCACATTTATCTGCCACTCCTCGGTCCATTGACTATCTGATCAAGGCTGCATTGTACTCTGAGATAACTTTCTTCACCATCCACTACACCGCCTATTTTGATGTCATCTACAAACTTACTAACCATACCTTTTATACTCACTTCCAAACCATTTATACAAACGTTGAAAAGCAGTGGACTCAGCACCAATCCTTGTGGAACACCGTTGGTCACAGGCCTCCAGTCCGAAAAGTAACCCTCCACCACCACGCTCTGTCTCCTATCTTCGAGCCAATCTTGTATCCAATTGACTCATTTTCTCTGGATCTCATGTGACCTAACCTTACTAACCAGTTTACCATGTGGAACCTTGTCGAACGCCTCACTGAAGTCCATATGGACAACATTTACCGCTCTGCCTTCATCTATCTTCTTTGTCACCTCTCCAAAAAACTCAATCAAGTTAGTGAGAGACGATTTCCCAGGCACAAAGCCATGTTGACTATCCCTAATCATTCCTTGCCTTTCCAAACACACGCAAATCCTGTCCCTCAGAATCCCTTGCAACAACTTGTCCACCACCGATGTCAGGTTCACCCATCTATTGTTCCCTGGCTTTTCCTTACCGCCTTTCTTAAATAATGGCACCACATTAGCCAACCTCCAGTCTTTCTGCACCTCACCTGTGGCTGTTAACGAAACATGGGCCAGCAATCTACTAAGGGTTGGAAGACTGTTTTTATTTTATGCAAGACTGTATTTTTTTAGCTGTTGACAAAGGTGGAGGAGGAGCGAGTGGAAAAGATGGAGACATTGTCCAGAGCAAAAGACAAGAAGAGTGCTTGTGATATTAAGGGACCGATATAGATGAGAGATAGGTGTTAATGGTGGGTGTATACAATGGAAAATAGATGAGCTTTTCAAACAGCAAACCCATACAAAAAGGATACTGGAAGGGGTGCCGGGAAAGGGAAAGGGATGCAAACTAGTCTACTATATCCGCTGCTCACTGTTTAGTCTCTTCTACGTTGGTGAGATTAAAATCACTTTGAGGTACACCTTCACTCTGTCAATAATGGTGACCCTGACCTACCACTTACTTGCCATTTTAGTTCACCATCTTGCTCTCGAAACCTTCCAGTTCTGGGCCTCTGGCATTTTTCGAGCAGAGAGCAGAGGTCCTCTGTTGGATGAACAGCACCCCGCTCCCCCCCATTTTCTCATTTAGGCACTTCCCAGCCTTCGGGACTCAACATGGGGTTCAATAATGGTCAGAGTCTGAACGCTGCCCTCACACCCCCACACCACCGCTGTGAGAAAGTTACCTACCTGTCTCCCGACACAGAGATGAGATGTTTACAGTCGTTGGTGAATTTCATTCCTGTCACGACCTCTGGGGGGGGGGGGGGGGCGGTAGAAAAAAACACACAATCATTGTAGAGACTAGAGCGGGTGGACGTGGGTCAGTGAATGAGGTGAGTTCACTAGGATCATCACTCAGACTGAAGCTTATCGTACTGACCGACGGAAACCAGCTTATGGAGATTATCCTGATAGGTGGAGGTGTAGCCTGACCAACACTGGTTTGGGTGGATTACCCTAACCAGGGGGGACTGATGAAGACCTTCATGACCATTACTGGCTCACAACTGACCGATTTGAACGAACAAACATGCTGGCCAATGTCGTCCATCAAGTGGCTCCTGATAATTAAACTAGAGGAATTAAGAATTTGGAACGTGTAAGTGTCTGTCAATCTTTTACCATTTTGCATTTCTTGGGATAGCAGTTACTTAAAACCAAATGCACATGGACAGCAACGAATTACACATTCAGGGGACGCCCATTCAAATCGGTCAGAGGTGCGTAGAGTTCATTTGTCAAACATGGGAATGACGACTGAAAATTTCCAAACATACTTTTGCAATACACACACACACCCAGAGGTGTTGGTCACAGACAGAGGGCCATCATTTGCAAGTAGGGAATTCGAATATTTCCCAAAGTCAAATGGCATTCGCTATGTAAGGACAGCCCCGTTGTTTCCATTGTCTAATGGCCTGGTGGAAACAGCAGTCCAAACTTTGAAGGCGGGCTTAAAGAAACAGCCTGCAGCTTCACTTGGTACCAAAGTGTCTTGGCTCCTGTTTGAATATAGCACCAACCCCTCAGGCAACTACAGG